TAATTTCTATGGAAAGAAGTAGTAGAAGATCATCAGCAGAAATCCAATCCAGTCTGACGTGTATGGTCGCTCCACAGCGCCTTGATGAAATGCCTCTGTTTTGCTCTCCTGCAGTGCCAAACATGCAAAATACTAACTTGGAAATGTGACCCACTTATTGCTGAAAAGAAAAACCATCTCCCAGCAACACTGACCACTAATGTGGGTTCTGATTTTTTGCTCGCCACACACATGATCAAGGATGCAAGCCAAGGTTTGCTAGTGAGCTGTAATGTGAGGTGACTAGCACATGTTATCTAACAGAAGAAAGCCAGTTTTAAGCATATACAGCGTATACAGCATGCTCACCATGATGTCACCCATGTTAGTGGCAATAGTGAAATCCCAATAAGAAGCCTTGAAATGAGATGAGTTCTGACTCAAAAAATGTTCATAATTTGCCAAATGGTCTTAATGCTCTATTCAGTATGACTAGCAACTAGAGTGTTTGCTGAGTTCAGAGAGCAAGCATTTTCAAATATTTTCAAAGGTTTCTCATGTGATGTCATGCGCACATTATTGAGATTTTTCCATGATAATGGACATGATATAGCCACTGGTTGCCAGGGAAAAAGTAACTTCCCAGTGAATCCCAACAGTGGTTCACTGCATTCGCTGGGGGAAATCAATTGCAAAGTAGCTCCTGGACCAAAAACCTCCTTGGCTTTGAGTGATAGCAAATTTACACTCTTTCCTGTAGTTTTTCATGTTTGTCTGCTAACACTCACTAAGTAATAGCTGATTGGTAGTAAAACCGGAAATGGAGAACCAATACAGTCACAAGGAGGTTTATGCTTGTGATAGTTGGGTCACTAGGGAAAGATATGGGTCACTGACCATCTTTAGGCCAGTGCCAACAGCTGCCATCAGCTTCCAGCAACCACTTGCAACTGGCGAGGTAGTTCTTGTTTTTTCCTCATTGCATCCTGCCAAATGACCATTGACCAGCTTTGATTCTACACTGTCATTATATTTGTCATGCCCAAAATGGCTGACATGTTTATGTCAAATGGTTGGCGCTCACATGTCTGCAAAAGCTCTATATAAACAAAAGGTTTTCTGCAGCCACAGGGCTCACCCCCTGGTGGCCACTGAAAACACTGCAGGTTTAAGGGACTTTAGTGTTGGCTTCAGTTTTCAGACATGGTAGGTTTGTCCTTCGTTTATACTGTGCATGACTTTTTCCAGTAAATCATATTCGGCCAAATGGCAGAAGAAACAAGAGTTAGTATTGTCAGTGCATTCAAACAACTCTGTGACACTTTTCTTCTGGCTAATTAAAAGTAAAACTAGTTTGCCTTTTAGTTTAGACAAGTGGCTAGCGTAGAAAATTACTAGTAAATAAGGACTAAATAAAACAAATGTTATTTATATTGAGACTGTTACAAAAAAACATTTTAAAGGTTCATATATCATGTAAGCTTGCCGTCTACAAGCAATACAAAGGTGGTGTTGTGAGCCAGATAGCTAAATAAAAAGCCAGTTAGCTGCACAGCATGTAGGCAAGCTAATGCTGACAGTTTTGTCACCAAATTGACTTTGTTGTCATTACAGTCTACTTTCATATAGGTATTCCGATGGTTTCTTAGTTGCAGGAAAACATACCTTATTGGAAATGCAGGTAACAAATCAAATTCAAAATTCAAATTCAAATTTTATTTGTCACGTACACAGTCATACACAGTACGATATGCAGTGAAATCTGTCATTAACCCCTGATGACTTTTTTTGGTCTATATGTTGACTTTAGTTCTTGAACAGCAAACTAGACAAAATCTGTCATCTAAACTAAAAGACCCACTTTATTGCTTTTGAATCACAGCGTTCATCTGATTGCTCAAAATATTGACATTTTAAATGTTTGAAATTCATTAATGAGTTATTGTAGAAATATTAGTAAAATATTAGCAAAAATGACGATAAAACACACAGCTGCTGAGTAGATTATCAACACTGGCGATGCTGAAAATTTCAAGAGAAGTAAGATATACCACACATCAGGACAAACAGATGTTGGCAATCAGAATTCTGGAGTGCACCTTTATTCATATACAGGCTTATAATATTATAAGTAATATATTTTTTTATGAAGTATTGCCTCATTTATTGCTAGTTTACAACATCTCTTTTCTTTTATCGCGACACTGTTTCAGTTGGGTGATATACAGAAATCAGTTTTTGGCTTCACACTAAGTAAACACTCCAGGAAGCATCGTTGTTTGCCACTTCTCATTTCGAGGATGAAAATGGTCCTTTCAGATCATCTGTCAAACATCACTGTCTTTGATAAAAACCTCATAGTGTTCACATGGTCAGAAACTGGTCAAAACCCTCCAAAAACACGGTCACATTATCATTAAAGAACCTCTTTTCTCTTACAGCTTGACCAGCCCACTTCAAGCTGACCCTGCTCCATCTAGTAATTACAGTTAACGCAGAGAGCTTCTGAAGTGCATTACACTGACAATACAAACTGAGACAACCAGGGTTGCTTTTTAAGTGATCAATAAAAATTAAGAGTCATTGATTTTGTGGAAACCTTTACTTTTGTTCTTTTTGTTCCCCTCTCTGAAGGTGTTTGGAGTAAAATCTTATATATATATATATATATATATATATATATATTAATATTATATATTTATATATATTATATTATATATATATATATATATATATATATATATATATTATATATATATATATAATATATATACACACACACATAAACAAAGGGATATATTTTTGACGTCGATGCTGTGAAATCTCTAGGGAACACATTACTTCAAGCACAGAAAGAAAGATAGAAAGCATTTCAAACATTTAAAAGTATATTTTGTTATGAACACACATAAAGAGTACAAGTACCCAAATGGTAGTTAAACATCTGTCAACAAAACTTTCTTTCTACAGAAACTCAATTTTATATTGCCATGTATCAGGGGAGCTATTCATAAACCACATTTACTTATCAGCTTAGCCAATCAAACATGAATGTTTACATCATCATATTCACACAACAGCCAAGGCGTTAATCGTCCTCCATGACCTCAGGGAACCCTGAAGTGAACGTGGCATGTCGTAACATGTTGCCATTTTAACATATTTAGAAACAACATAAAACATCATATAAATGACTGCAGTTAAACAATAAAGCCTCTTAAGTATCCCTGTGGAGATGCAAGCAGAATGAGGTGTGTGATCGGTGCTGGTTGTCTGTTTGTCAGTAAGATTACGTAAAAATGACCAAGCTAAATTTCATGAAACTTACAGAAGAGGTGGAGCATAGCCAAAGGAAGAAACCATAAAATGTTGGCACTGCTTCAGTTCACTTTCTTTAAAGTGGACTTGGTAGAGGATGTGCTCTGCACGTCCCTTCATTGTTCAAATGTGTAAGTAAGCATAAGAATAGGTATCTGACTACCGATGCTTTTCAATCTTTTCCACAAAGAGTACAGTACTGCAGAGTCCCTTAAATTCAAGTGTTTTTGTTTGTCATTCAGTTTGATTAAATTACCTCAGAGTTGCTGAGATTCAATCAAACTTTAATATTGTCTCTAAACTACTGCCAATTGGGCCAGTAACATTATATTTAATTTCCTGTGGTATTTCTCAGCCTAAAAATGTCAGTGCAGGTGACAAACATGGCAGCAGATCAACAGAAACCATCAGTCAGGGATAAAAAAAAAAAAGTCAAGAAAGAGCTGCCTCTCTAGTTTACTAAGTAGCACTGTGATGCTGGGAAACATGTCATCAGTACTAAGTTTAAGTGTTGGAAGTAAAACTGTTATTCTAAGCAATGAGGGGCTTTCTCAGCACCAAATCATGGGTTCACTGCAAGGCGCTGTAAAAATACTGTGTAGATTATTGGATCATTTTCTATCGTTGGTATCGGTGGAGGAGAAGCATCACAAAACCCTTTCTTTGGAGGAGACCAGTGCCAAATGCTTGAGGTGAACAAAGTTATATCAGCATGTTTCTTTTCTGACAGGCAATAGAAAGGTGTCCAAGAAAGAGCTGGAGCATTACTATCCTGCAGGGTATGAGTGAAACTTTGTGGTGGGACTGTTTAAGTCTGGGGGTATTTTCTCAGTGCTTTGCTTAGACATTTTTACAAAGTCTCCTTCATCACGATCAAGTGGTCTATTCTATGACGACATCCTCCGCCTTCTGCTTTGCATTACTGCAAAACATGATTCGTATTAGTGCAAATATAAGATACCCCCAAAACAGTTTTAATACAACTTGAAGAGTAGTTGTTAACCTCACTGAACTATTTCTGGAGGAAATCATGTTTGTTAGAATATCCCCAAAATGTATGGCGTCACTTAAATCTGTCATTAAGCAGAAGGACTTCATCTTTTCACTGAAACTTTTTAACTCACATAATAATAATACTTTTGTACCCCAACTGTATATTTTTATGAACAGTATTCACTTATTTGCTAAAGCGCTGAACATGCACTCTCTAAAAGTATGAATAGAAATCTTCTGGGTCTAATTATATGCTTTAAACTCTAAATAGACCTTAAATTTCTGTAGAGCAGCATTTCCTATATCCTATAGGATCACAAATAGATTTTTTTCCCATTCTGATAATGCAAAAAAAAGTATACCACTTAAACCATTTTAGAAAAATTAAGAGAATTTCTACATGACTAATTATTACCACTGCAGACGTCATTAAACTCCTTACGTTGCAATCAACTCTTATACATGGAAGTGTGAAATCACTTCCATGTATAAGAGCTGATTGATGAAGTGGCCTCAAAGCTGTGACCTTTATATCCAAACGAAGAAATTCAGTTAATTAGCCGGTATTCGCTGTTTTTTTTTCTTTTTTTTCTTGAATTAATGCGCTAAATCTACATTTTCCTGTGAGAAAGGAGGTCTGCTGGTCCAGCGTGCAGCATCACATCCTGTCTGACTAAACTGGGTGTAAACTCCGAGTCGAGGCGGGGAGGAACGGCAGAACTGTGAGACTGTATGGGAGGGTCACTAGAGCCACTGGTTTGTCCTGCAGAGTGAATGAAGTTGGATTATTATTATTATTTTTGTGTTGAATGCAGAAAAACAGAAGGAAACCCTTGGGAGAACAAAAGAAACATGGTCCCCGGAATTATTTGGATATTTTACCTGTGATGTTTTGGAAAAACTTTCATCGGACGATGTTTTCTCTGCTTTTGGGAGGTTTTCTATGTATGAAGTATATGTTTTTATGTTCCCATAGGCCCTCTCGCCTCATTTTACTGCCTCCAATATTTATACCGTAGCTGGTAATTAACATAATCTTGCATTCGTGTTAATTTCGAGGAATGAAGGACAACACGAAGTCCGGATTGCCACCCAAACGCAGATTTTTTGGCAGTTTATGAATGCAGCTGTAATCACGCAGGGGAGCCTCAAGTACTTAAATGGGTCCATCATGAGAAAGAGACAATCAAGCTCCTTTATGTCTCAAGATCAGCTGCAGTTTCGGCACATTGTCTGTTATGAATAGACCGATCTCCAATTGAGCCTCTTCACTTTGAGATTTTTCGATTTTCGATTATACGGCTATTGAAATTAGGATGTGCCGCTTTTTTCTCTCTCTTAGCTTGGTGGCTTGGTTGCCTTTTTTTTGATTGACAGATGAAATTGACACTCGGGTTGCCTCTTATCAAGCGAAGCATTTCAATCTACCGCTAATTGCAGATATAGTGCCATCCTTTCTTTTCACTGCGTTTGATTGCATGGGAATACAGCCTCCTATCGTGCACAAGAGGAATGATCGATCATATATAGTTTTTCCCCTCCTAATTGCATCAAAATTTCTTTTGTTGCCAGGGTTTAAATGCAGGAGAAACTGTTATTCCTTGTTTTGGACCGGATATAGTGTGGGTTGGGGCAGAGATGCGTAATGCGCAGAGCAAGCTCCATCTCTTCTCCAAATAGGCAGCCTTCAAGATCCGAAAATGGTGAGTCACAAACATCTGGACGAGTTTGGTTTTCAACCTTTTCATTTCTTTGTCTTTCATTCACTCTCCACATTTTATTTATTTATTTTCGTAACGGGATAGAGTTAATTTGGCGGAAGCGCAGGTTTAATCGGGAGGAGATGGAGCGTAAAGACGCCAAAACTCAGTTTATTCACTTTCCTTTTGCGGTTGGAGTTCACACATTGCAACGGTTCTGGGCTGAGATACAGATTCATGTAATTTTATGCAACTTGAAATTGCATGTTGTATACAACATATACGGGTAAATTATTAGTAAATATACACAGAAATAGTTAGCACTCACTAGCTACCAGATCGAGTTTTTTGGGGGGGGTTTTTTGTTTTTTTTTATATCAATGTTTTTTCCTGGACTGGATCTTCATGTTGGCACCACGTCTCTGGTTAGGATTTACATATTTCACTGACGTTTTATTTTATTTTTAAATCTACAAGATGCAATGAAATTGTATTTGCTATAAAAGTGATTTATTTTATTTTATTTTAATTTAATTTAATTTATTTTGTTGTCTTTGCGCAGTCTAAATCGGAGGTGAAGAAGGAGTCTGGGGAGTCCAGCCCGTCGGAGGCCGCCTGCCTCTGCCCTCCTCCGGCGGCAAAGAACCAGTGCGCGAGCTGCGGCATGGAGATCCAAGACCGCTACCTACTGAAGGTGCGAAATTAACCCATAATAAATCCTACAGTGAGAAGTAAGATTTGTTTTGTTTTTGTTTTCTTTATTTAAAGCGTAAGCTTCTCTTCACATCCCTGTCTTCAGGAAATCACTGATAATGACCGAAATGATCATTCTGCAAACGTTTCCTGAGGTTGCTGTCCATTTTTCTTCATGTCTGCCTTCTTTTCGAAAAAAATCCCAGTTAGTGTAGAATTCCACAGAAGACTGTACAGAACTGGTCAAATGCTTTTAGTTTTAGTTTTTTCTAACGCTGTTTAATTTCTAGTTGAGCATCTCGATTAAGAGAGCTATCGGAGTGTGATATGTCAGTGTGTGTGTGTGTGTGTGTGTGTGTGTGTGTGTGTGTGTGTGTGTGTGTGTGTGTGTGTGTGTGTGTGTGTGTGTGTGTGTGCATTGATTTATGCTCTAGATGCTCTAAATAAAACAGGTTTAACGGTGTACTGGCTTCACTACTGTTTAAT